CACAGCTGAGAGAGAGTTCCTAAAGTGAGGCTCCTGCGTGACAAGACATAGGGTTTAGGTAGCCCTCATTCTGTTGACCCCAACTATGCTTTAGGAAAGGACCAGTGTTAAGGTGTTTTCTGGCGAGTGAAGGCGTCTGAAAGGAAACTTCTAGCTTCTGTAACTTCTTCTGGTGGAGGAGGTTGAGACGAACTTCACGCTGGAGCTGCTGCTGCCTCCGAGGGTGGTGCTGCTAACCCCAGGACCACTTCCGCAGCTGAAGCTGTTCCCCATGTTGCAGATTCCCCCTCCCATGCTGAGGTTGCTTCCTCCTCCGTATCCCGTTCCCACAGTTGTTCTGGTCACGGCTGGAAGAAGGAGAAGGAAAAGCTCTCAGTTTCTCTGGGCATTGGCTCCTTGGTGCAGAGACACACTAATGCTTAAAGGAGGTCATTGCGTGTATTTTAGAGACTTACAGATATTCACTGGGACGCCATCTCCAGCCAGCCTGTTAGGGGACAGAACACAACAAGGTAAGGGCGTAAGAAGTCGGTTGGGAGTGGTGGGAAAGAATAGGGTACGTTTCCTAGAGACCTTTGGGGGAAAAATCAAAACTCGGCATAACTCAGGGACGCTTCCTGCAATGTTATTTCCGTCAGCTAGGACAATCTTCCTCCCTCCCCGCCCTCTAATGCCCTGTTTAGCATTTCAGAAACACTGAGCATCTCCAGTGCTTGCATTGCTTTGCTCCTCCAACATCAGGACTAGAAGGGTTGTGTTTCCCACCCACCTGCACTCCTCTCCCTCCAGCAGCTTCCTGTAGGTCGCAATCTCAATGTCCAGGGCCAGCTTGACGTTCATGAGCTCCTGGTACTCGCGGCGCTGCCGGGCCAGGCCTGCCTTGGCCTGCTGCCGAGCCTCTTCCAGCTCCGCCAGTTTGGCTTTGGCATCTTTGAGGGCGAGCTCCCCACGTTCCTCAGCATCCGCGATGGCCGCTTTCAGATTTGCACACTACAGAAGAGAAACCCCCAGTCAAATTCCCCATGCGAGACCTAGACCTGTTCTTTATCTCCCCTGAAATCACAAGATCTTATTGCAGCACCATCAGCTTAACCATTTTAGTGACAGTGCTGCTCTTGAGAGAAAACGGATCAAGCTGAGCAGAACTTGCCTAGGTTGCCCCTGATGTTTTCCTTCCTCCCTCTTGCAAGTCAGGGGGTAAATTGGTTAAAAGTGTGAGGTTTGCTGGTTTTTACCTGTTTCTTCACATTGTCGATTTCAGACCGCAGCCGCTGGACGTGGCGGTTGAGCTC